GCCTCAGACACTTACCTATGTGACCCTGGGCAAGTCATATCATCCCTGTTTGCCTCAGTTTCCTAATATATAAAAGGAGGATAATAATAGTACCTACATTCCAGGGTTGTTGTGAGGATCAAATGAGATAATAATTATAAGTTCTTACTTATTAGCACAATACTCGGCACATAGTAAGTGCTATATAAATGTTAGCTAATAGTAGTAGGAGTAATAGTTGCCATCATCATAGTAGAAGCAGTAGTAGTAGTAGTAATAGTAATAGTAGTAGTATTAGAAGTAGTAGTAGAAATATAAGTAGTAGTAGACATACTAGGAGTAGTAGTAGTAGTAGTAGTTGTAGTGACCTCGTCAGGTCCCCTGGATTCAGGTATAGCCTCTATACAAATGACTACCAGATCTGAATATCTAACCCCAGTCTCTCCCCTGATTTCCACTCTTGCAACACCAAATGTCTATTGGAAACTCCAACTGGATATTCAATAGATGTCTCAAACTCAGCATGTCCAAAACACAACTCATCATCTATCTCTTAAAACCTCTGCTGTTTTAAACTTCCCTTTTTCTAACAAGGCACCTCCATTCTTCCCTTCATTCCTAGCTTCATGACCTTGGAGTCAACCTCAAGTCTCCCTTTGCCCTTGTCCATCATGCGTAAACAGTTGGTTTGCTTTCATGCTATCTCACATCCATCCCCTTCTCTTGTCTTGGACAGCCACACTCACCCCTTTGTCGGACCTGATTACCTCTCACCTGGTCCATTGCAATCCTCTTTTATTTGTTCTGTCTTCATCCATTCTTTCTCCTTCTCCAGTCTATCTTCCACATGGACAACAAAATGCTATTCCTAGAACCCAGGTCAGACTAGGTCATTCCCCTGATCAATAAACTCTAATACTTCTTTCTTGCCACTAGAATAAAATACATATCTCTCGTTTGGCTTTGAGAAAGCTAGGTAGAATAGTGCATAGAGTGCTGGACCTGGAGACCTGAGTTCAAATTTGACCTCAGACACTTACTAGCTATGTGACCTTGGGCAGGTCACTTAACCTATTTGCCTCAGTTTCCTCAACTGTAAGATGAGGATAATAATAGTGCCCACCTCACAGGGTTGTTGTGAAGATCAAATCAGATAATGTTTGTAAAGTGCTTAGCCCAATGCTCCTCTCCTCTCCCACCCCCACCTCAATAGAATGTAAGCTCCCCAAGGGCAAGATCTGTTTTGTTTTTATCTTTGTATCTGTTTTTCTTAGCACAGTGCCTGCCATATCACAGGAACTTAGTAAAAGTTTGTTGAATGAATGAATGAATGAATCTTACTTAATTCATACCAAATGACCTCCCTGAGCCTTGTTTTCTTAGCTGTAAAACAAAATGGGATAATAATATTTTTATTACCTACTTCTCAAAAGCTTGCTATGAAGAAAATGCTTGGTTAACTTTAAAGAGTTATAGAAATGTAGTGGTTATTATTATTATTAATATTCTGAGAATGTGGAAAACATTCTGAATTCTTTAGAAGGTTTCTTATCAGTTCTGTAACTTTGTGTATAGTATGATGACTGTGTGTGTGTGTGTGTGTCTAGGTTCACTGGCCATTGCTGGAGGACTGAAACTTGGGTGAATATTTTTGATGTGAGTTCTTGGGATTTGAGATCCAGTGTTCTGTCCCCCAGGCTCCTATGGAAACATAGCATCATGAGACCTGTGATACATTTCACAGCTCATCCGTGTCTCCACATTTTGTGTGACTCACTCTATCCCACCAAAAATGAAAAGGAAGGAGGTGGGCTCTTACTCACCAGAGCTCTCAGCCCACAGATATTCCCTACTCAAAGGAGGATGGGGGTGGGGGGTGGGGAGGAAGACCTATCTTCTGCAGCTCTGAGATGATCCAGAGGCAGGTACCACAGGTGGGGGAGGGGAGTTTTACTTGAGTAGCTACTGGTACAGGTGCCCAGGTTTATAGTTGGGCTATAGCCACTTCAAGGGGCAGATGCCCATGAAGAAGAGAAGAGGTTGGGAGTTTAACCGATGTAATCTTTGGCAAGTCAAATTACCTCCTTGGGGAAGGAACAGAATGTTGTGTTGCGTTGCGTTGCGTTGTGTTGTATTGAAGTCCAGCCCCCAAATACTTATCATAGAAACAATAGGATGAATCCCGTCTTCCAACCTGCCAAAAGGTTGATGGTGGTCCCACCATTAGTCTAGGTCCCTAAGACTCTGGTCTCTCCTTTCCAGAACTCCATGGTGAAGGAGTCTTGGGAAACAATGGTATGGTGCAGACAGTCCTCAGAGCCAGGAGGCCAGAGCTGAAATCCCCCCTGACACTCCTATGTGACCCTGGACGTAGGATCTTAGAGTTAAAAGAAGATGTAGAGGTCACTGAGGCCAATGCCCTCATTGTAAAGGTCAGGAAACCGAGACCCAGAGAAGTAAAGGGTCTTGCCCACCAACACAATGGGGTCTTAGTTCTAGGGGGAAAAGGGACCTCAGAAGGTATTTAGCCCCACCCTCCCCATTTTACAGATGAAGAAACAGAGGCCCAGAGAGGGGAATGGAGTGCCCAGAGTCACACAGTAAGTGTCTGAGGTAGAAAGAACCCAGGTCTTCTATGTCTATCCACTACTCCATGTCACATCTCCCTATCTGGACTTCAGCTTCTTCATCTTTAAAACAGGGAGAACAGGACTTGCCTTCATTGGCTGAAAATGGTGGTTGTGAGGAAACCGTTCTGTAAGCCTTTAAGAGCTGAAAAAATGGAAATTGTTTGGATTCTCATCACCTTGTCCAGATCTTACTTTTCAATCGTATGTTCTGGGAAGCTTCGCTCAGGTGCTTCATGATGAGTGATCATGGGTCAGAAGCTGGAAGGGACCTTGGATGCCTTGGAACCCAGTCCTGTCATTTTTCAGATGAGGAAACTGAGGCCTGGAGACATTAAGTGACTGCCCCAAAGTAACACAAGGTCATTAGCCTAAGGTCTCACTGATACCAAGTGACAGCAGGAGGATTCGAACCCTGGCTCTTTGACTCTCAATGTCCCTCCCCCCACCTGAATTCAGAGTATTGGACTTGGAGCCAGGAAGACCTGGACACAAAATTTTGCCTCTGGCACTTATCTGCTATGTCACCCTGGGCAGGTCAATTCACTTGTCTGCCTCAGTTCCCTCATTTGTAGAATGAGATTAATACCTGTCATACCCACCTCACAGATTTGCTGTGAGGATCAAATGAGTTAGTAGATTTAAAGGGCTTTGCCAACTTCAGAGACCCAGATAATTGTCAGTGGTGACTTCCTTTTTCTATTTGTTGACTTCTTCCAATTTCCTGGGAGCTCAGGGTAGCCCACTGGTCACCATCCTGTTCCCTCTGCCGCCTCTACTTTGTACAAGACTGGTGGGAGAAATGAAGCATGTTTATTCTCAGCAGAATGTTAGAAGCATCATTCTGAGTCTCAGGAAGGGCATCTCCCTGTGGATGAGTTTTCTTAATTTCCTACGCAGTATCCCTTTGAGGGAGCCAGGTAGTAAAGTGATCAGAGCACTGGGCTTGGAGTGAGGGAGACCTGAGTTCAAATCCAACCTTAGACACTTATTGGCTGTGTGATCCTGGACAAGTCACTCTGTTTGCCTCAGTTTCCTCAACTGTAAAATGGGGATCATAATAGCACCTCCCTCTCAGGATTATTGTGAGGGTGAAATGAGATATTTGTAAAGCACTTAGCGCAATGCCTGGTACACAGTAGGCACTTAATAAATGCTTGTTCTTCCCTCTACTTCCTTTGTCCCACAGGTAAAACAGATCATGGAAGAGGCTGTTACCCGAAAGTTTGTCCACGAAGACAGCAGCCATATCATCTCATTCTGTGGTGAGTCTAGTGGCTGCCCTTTAGAAAGAAGGGGTTCCATATTTGGGATTCATCTTGACCACTGGAAAATGTTTTATCTCTGTTCACTCAAGGACTCGAGGTGGCAACTTTGAGCAATGGTGTGATATAGTGGAAACATCACTGAACTTGGAAAGTGGAAGATGTGTCTGAATCCTAGCTCATGCACCTTATCACTGTGGGTCCATGTATGAGCCTTGGTTTCCTTCTTTGTAAAGATAGAATGAAAGTGCGTAACTACAGGGACATCATGAGAAAAATTAGCTGCCACATGTTGTTTCATATGTTTACCAGTGATTTAGATAAAAGCAGAGGTGGCACATGCCACCAAATGTAGCCAATTTGCAGGTGACACAAAGCTAAGACAGATGGTTAACACAAAGAATAGTGGTCAAAGTTCAGAAAGATCTCGAGAGATCAGAAAATTGGCTTAGGTTGAAGATGGTGAAATGGGACAGGGATCAATGTAAAGTCTTACACTTGGGTTCAAAAACTCAATTTCACAGGTGCAGACAGTAACATTGTACCAGTAATGTTGTCCGTGGATCCACTGTGAATGATTTAGCTCTTCTGAGCAATACAAATGAGTCAAGACATTTCCAGAGGACTCATAATGAAAAATGCTCTCCCCTTCCAGAGACAGAACTGATGGAGTCTGACTGTAGATCAAAACAGACTTTTTTCACTTTAAAAACATTTTTTTCTCTGTGTTTTCTTTCACATGTGACTAATATGGAAATACGTTTTGCATGATAGCACATGTAGAATCTGTATCAAATTGCTTACCACTTCAGGAAGGGGTGAGGGAAGGGAGAGAGGAGAGAATGTCGATCTCAAGTCTTTCAGAAATAAATGTTCAAAATTGTGTTTACATGCAATTGGGAAAAATTTTTATTAAAAATTTTTGACAGGTAGAGGATGGGAGATGAATGGTAAGAAAACTCATCTGAAAAAAAAAGATCTTGGTCTTTTAATGGAAATGATGGAATAGAAGCAGCTGGTGGCACAGTGATTAGAGTGTTACACCTGGAATCAAGAAGACCTGAGTTCAAATGTGGCCACAGACGCTTGCTACCTGTGTGACCCTGGGCAAGTCACTTTACCTAAGTTTGCTCATCTGTAAAATGAGGACAATAATAGCATCTACTTCCCAGGGTTGGTGTGAGGATTAAATGAGATAATATTTGTAAAGTGCTTTGCAAACCTTAAAGTGCTATGGAAATGTGAAGTAGTAGTAGTAGTAGTAGTAGTAGTAGTAGTAGTAGTAGTAGTAG